ACTTCTTTTGCAATTACCTTTTGAGGCTTTCCCTCCTTATGGAGGGTATCAATGATGGTTTTCTGCACAACTGTCAGGTCAGCGGTCTTCCCCATGATTGTGATTCCTACTGAACCAGACTGAGAAACCATTTAAAGCTTTGCTGGCTGAGGAATTCTGGGAGTTGAAGTCCACAAGTCTTAAAGTTGCCAAGGTTGGACACCCCTGATTTAAAGGCTCAGGAACCCTTTGCAGGTGTTATGGCTTAATTAGCTGATTAGAGTGGGACACTTTGAGTCTAGAATATTGAACCTTTTCACAATATTCTAATTTTCTGAGATTGTGGATTTGGGGTTTTCATGAGCTGTAAGCCATAATCATCACAATTATGCCACATCACGGCTTGCACTATCTTGCTTTGCATGTAATGAGTCTATCTCATATATTAGTTTCACCTTTTAAGTTGCATTACTGAAATAAATGAACTTTTGCACGATATTCTAATTTTTTGAGTTTCACCTGTAAAAGAACATTCAGGTGACTGGATAATGAGAAAAAGTATACAGAGAATGTTGACATGGTTCGTTGAAAGAAGACTACTACTACAGTCCCACTTGCTCCTTTTCATCACAGAAAAGTTTTCTGATGCCTCAGAATATCTTTTTTTTTTTTTAAACAAGTTTTATTTTCAAGACAAACAATACATAGATACACATAAAACAAAACATAAAAGCATAAAAAATCTCTTATCCGAAAGTTGATTAGTCCCGGGTTAAAACTCCTGGTACAGACACAAATTCAAATTCATATTCATTTTACATACCATTTCATATCTTATTAACATTTTCAGTTTTCTATATGTCTTCTCCTCTCCTTTAAATTTTCTCAATTTTATTTTATTTTATTTATCTCCTCTCAATTCATATCATAATATTTATTATTCTTTGTCTGTTCTATTCCAGCCAGCCCTTTATTTTCCTTCTTTAAAAAAAAGAAAAAACTTCTCCTGTACACTATATGGAGTATGATGCCTTTATCTCTTTCCCCTACATTTATAATACTTAATATAAAACACATGACATATATTGGGATTCTGTCTGGTACATTCTAAAATTATACTATATTATCAAAAATAATACAAATCTATTCATTAGTATTAATATTCATTCATATCTTAAACATTTAAATCATTACTTTTCAATTAAATCACATACTTTTATGGGAGCCCTATTTTCCATAGTTTATTTCATTAAAAAGTACCTCCTTCTTCTACTTCAATTCTCATTTCACATGAAATTTCGCTAGTATACCATATTCTAATCATTGATATTAACAATCATTTATATCTTAAACATTTTATCCATTTCAATTAAATATCATGCCTTTATGGGAACACTTATGCTTTTCAAAGATTTTTACCCCCCCCCCCCCATCACAATCTTAAATCATGTTTCGTTACAGTACTCCCTTTTCTTAACCAAAAATTTCACTAATTTATGTTAAATATTTTACCACATTTTAGGTTACATATTGTTTCTAATTTTCTATGTTTACTTCTAAATACGAGTATAAAAATGCAGTCTTATGTATCTTTCTAGAATCCCTTTAACCATAAAGCTTATCCATTATCTCTAAAAAAAATTTGCTTCTTAACATCTTGCTCCCCACCATTAGGACTTCTCATCCCTTCCTTTCTTTCTTGTTTCTTCTTCTCCTTATCCTCTTTAACCCCTTGTCTCTCCACCTCCCTTTTATTCTGCTTTCCCCTTCTGTTGTTTCTTAACATAATGTCCCCTTTTCACCTTATTCTTCTCTTTTTGGGCTATTTTTCCAGATCTTAAAGACCTTTTCCCCTTTTTCTCTTGCTTTTTCTCTTCTCCAGTCAAAGTAATTTGTTCATCAAAGATGGCTTCTCCTTCTTCTTTGTCCCCATCATCCTCATTCTGCTTCACATAAATATAAACCGCCATTTCCAAGTATTGAAAAATAGTGTCAAGACCATCTTCCCCTCCTTGTTTTTCTCTTTCAAATTTTTGATATATAAGTTCCAATTCATCCATAGATGATGCCATTGTGTAGAGAAAAAGTTTTTCCAAACAACCACCCAGATGATTTAATCAGAAGTAATTTCCAAAGATTCCAAAGTCACCAAACAATCCAAACAGACTATTTCTTTTAGATACCTTCTTCTTCTTCACTCTCTCTTCCTGGGGCCAAAGTAATCACAAATCCTTTTCAAGTATATTTTTGGGAAGTTTTTAAACTCTTTGTAATTCTAGGCAATCTTCTCCTTATTCAAACTTTGCTCTAATTCTTTTTTTCACTCTCCCTTCCCACTCACAGCCGAAAAGGTTTTTTGTTTTTTTTTCCGCTGTCACTTTAGGAAGGAGAGTAGAACAAAGAAAAAACTTTCCCCTTTAGAATATTCGCAGCTTAAAAACTCTCACAGGGAACAATATATACTTAGCAGCCTTCAAGATTCCAGGTCATTTTCTCCCGTCTTGTCCCGGTTAGAATCAACTTTCACTTTTCTTTCAGCTTCCTCCCTCCTGCACCTGCTTGTCTGGCTGCAGCTTTCTTCGTGGCGGCCATTGCTGACCGCCGTTCCTCCGCCTCGGGAAAAGGGGGTTTAGCCGGCTGGGGAGGGGGTTTGCGACACCCCCAAACCCCTTGCCGGATCCCCCCTGTCTTCAGCTGCCTCTACGGGGCAGCTATATCCCCCAGATCCAAATGGATCGGGGGAACCTTGACGGTGAACGCAGCAGGGATTGCGCGGTCGCGAATCCCTGCCGCCGCCGAAAGGTTGCAAACCGGAAGTCTGATGCCTCAGAATATCTTAACAGACATAAGTTAATGGAAACTAGCATTTCCTTAAACATGGTAAAAATTTCTAAATTGTATGCAGTTGCAAGATAGAACTATGAACTTAGAAAAAACTTTTTTCTCTTTGGTTGAAGACCTTTTAAATGTCAAGCTTAAAGACTCAACAGTCCGTTTAATAAATGCTCTATTTCTCATGCCTCAAATGGAGGGCAGGACAGCTTCTAAAACCATCTCCACTTCTGTGATCTCAGATGTGATACAGGTCAGAGAGGACAGTATCCTATGGGAAAAAAGGGCTATAACAACAAAGGTGAAATTTGCATATGGATTTTAAACAATAGAGTTAACACTTCAGCTCAATGTTTAAACTCTAATTTTAGCTCCAGATTGCTATTATCCATTTCAGCCACAAGTATTGATCCAGGTGCATTAAGCTTTAGCTCCAATTTCTCTAACCTACCACAGATTGTGCTTAAGGACAGTGATGACACATCTGGAGGGACCAGACTGAGAAAGATGTATTAATGTTTGGCTCACTCTTCCATGCTCAGCTCTCTAAGGAAAAGAAATGAGGTTTTTGTACCATGTATTTTTCCTTCTGCTCCTTGATTAAGCCTGCATTCCTCTTCTTTCTCACCTCTGCAACTTTCTCTTTGTATCTCAATTGTCTTTCAGTTGGTGCCTTGCAGGGAGTAAGAAACAAAATGTTTGCTTATGAGAGGGACACACAAACACAAACCTAGGGACTATTTTAAAACTGCCTGACACCAGCCACACAGCTCTGTTACATTTTTGGAGGTATCTGTGAAAGTCACATGCCCTCCAATTTGCAGCATTGCTGGAACATTGAACTTCGCACAACATGGTACAACAGGACCATTAACTGCAGCACCATATTGTATGAAGTTCAGTGTCTTGTTTTACCAATGTTCCATGTGTTCTCCAATACTTTATGGCACCTGTTTTATACATTTCCCCCCAGTTTATCAGAACAGCAGCTTTTTATAATGCTGCACTACAGCATGCAATTATGAGCTGGAAAGATTATTCATATGTGCATGGCTGTCATAATGGCATGTGGCAACCCTTAAGTAATAAACATACTGTACATTGAATCATCTCCCTTCCCTCTTTCGGAACAATAAAAGCACACAAAAAGATGTGTGCAATAGTCACAAAAGAAAATATATTTAACAAATAATTGAATAAAAAGATGCATGCATTTCAAATAAGAGGCCATACATTCAGACAGAACCTTATCCACCACAAAATTACTTTAATGTTTGAAAACAGTTTGATGTACAGTTTGATGACCACTATGAAAGACATTTGCCAGCTGGGGTTCTAAAGCCAGCACATACTTGAACAATACATAGAAAATTAAAAGAAACTACCTGGTGTCTGGTAGCATGTCTACTGTTGTCATCCTGTTGGTGAGAAAGCATCTGCTCCTCCACTTGTTTGTCTCGGCTTTGAGCTCTCACCTTGAAATCCAGAGAAATATTATATAAATCCCTTTCCCACATCATGCAGTTTAAAGGAACAATATGAAGAACCTGCAGCAATGTAGGTCTTGAATGTAGAAACTGCTGGAAATGACAGCATTTTCCTGGGGCCACCAAGCCTCAAGTTATGGTTAAAACAATTCATGTGTTGGTATAATGTATAAAAGATACTGTCTTTCAGAAGTTGTAATTTGCAAAGATGTGTTGAAGCCTTTGAATTCTTGCTCCATTCTCCATACAATTACCACTCCCCATTTGCTTTCCTTCATTACACACATCCTGGGAGAATAAGTTACCTTGCATTCATCAGCTGAAAGATTATGATACAGGGGGCACCCAGATATAGAGAAGTGTCGCTCATGTTTTCCTGTCAGATGTCCTGTGGAAAGCCAAAGAAATGTAGTTTATGGCTTGCCAAAAAGAACATATGGGAAGTTTTGGCAGTAGAAAATCCTAATTAAAACTCATTCCACTGTACCTAATGAGTTGCAGCCAGGGGTGGGACATTTCATGTTGAAATTATAGCTTTCATGGAAACGCCGTCGTTTGGGGCGATGGGAAAGATCACTCCCTGAATCTTTCATGGACATATCCTTGGCAATACTTTCATCATGTGACATGTTGGGACTAGAGATATCAATATCAGACTCTGATGAAGGAGCATTCCCAGTTGGAGTGCGGGGTGGAGACTCATCACGGTCAGCTGTATTTTTTGTGTCTGTTGAGAAGGGAGTAAATTAGGATAGTGTACAAGTTGCTAAGTTAGAAAATATACAAAGAATAAATACTTCCAGAGTCATTTATGTCAGCATTACACAAAAAAATGGAACACAATGCCAGAGATATTGTGATGACCCAGGGTGGGATACAAAATAAACAAAGTCCCAAAAACAGATGAAGCCCCTTTTATTCCTTCACTTTGCTTCAAAGCTCCAAATTTCCTTGACTGAGGCAAAGAACTCCCCCACAATCAATTATGGAAAGGAGGAAATGCCGTTTAAACTAAAAATGCTTATAAATTATAGAGTAAAAACAACACAAACCACACTGAAACAATTAAAGGAACCAGGTAAGATAAGGGCTTGAAGACTTCCACAGATATCGGAACACACACTGGGAAGGACGCCAAACTCAGAGAGGAACGACAGACTAGAGATATTTCCACACTTTGTTTCTAGCACTGGCCAATACGCATGTCTGTCCTTTTAACCAGTTCTTACAGCTGCAGCCCATGAAGAGGATCAAGGCCCTTTCCTCCCTGTAGACCATGCCATTCCCGTCTCTCCCTTATCCTCTCCTCCCTGCATGCCCTAGGATGGAGAGGGGATGGGCCTGGGTCTTCCTCTGACTGCCCAGCCGGCCTCTGCCCTTCCCCAGCCTCCTCTACAACCTCCGGAGCCACACTTCCACTCCCTGTCCTCTCCCTCAGAGTCAGTCTCCACCAGGGGCATGACAGATATATTGTTTCCTTCCTAGCCAGTCACCAAGGATGCTCTAGAGATGAACAAGAAAATCAGTCAGTCAAAGTCAAGTTGTAATCATGGTGATCCCACACTGTTGTTCTTTATCTCCATCTCTCTCACTCATATTATGGGATCAAGCAATGCCTAGGATGTCAACCAAGGTCTTAGCAAAGATATTGCTTTTTAACCTAGTATATTACCACTAAAGCATTCCACAAAGGAAGCTGAGCAAATACTACTGTATGAATGAATTCTCCATCTCCCCAGATGGTAAGTTATTAGGAGTGTCCTCCCCAACCATTCAAATGTACAAACCTCTATCAGAAAAATCAACCACTTGCTCTGTTTCTGAGCCTGATGAACGAGTCTGTCGCAGTGGATACTTCTTTGGAGTTACAGGTATGGGTTGCTGCTGACTGCGAGTTATTCTCTGAGTAGAATAAAGAGGCTCTTCTGCTCCAAATGATGGTGGACTGCGAACTGGGCTGGAATCTATGAAGGATTGGGAGGGATTTTAAGGGTGAAACCTAGTATCTCATTTTAGGAAACATCATTGCAGAGCCCACATTAAGTGTTGCCATATTATTTGTGGTTCTTACTGTAGTTGATTAACATGGCTATTCTTTTAGAAACTATTAAAATGGGCAGGTTTTACATAGTTTTCATTTGATTATAACCTACTTCCTTGCATTATTGCATATCTAAATTAAGTTTAAAAGATAATGTAAATCACAGTTTATAATATAAATCTTCAGTCCATCGTGGTATTGGAATAGATGATCCTGGAATACAAAATATATATGGAATACTGCTATTAATATTGTGGTATCTTAATTTGCTTAAATGCTTGTTTATCAAAAGGTATATGTTCCAAAAGGCATATAGGTTCATCACTTTGATAACCTGAATTTTCCTGTCCTGAAATGTTGACAACCAACAGTAAGTTTAAATAACGATCAAAACTTGTGCAAAAATGTTACGATTCAGAGGATGTTCTGTTATAAACTGCCTTTTTGTATTTATCCAAGGAACAGAGTTTGAACCAATTCACATATAAAAGCCACCTGAAGCAGCTGAACAATGGGTAGGGTGGTCAAGTGAGCTGCGGCGCAGCAAGGGGAACAGACAAAAAACCTGGGAACCTGACCCACAGAATTTCAGATCCTGCAGAGCCTGACTGGCAAGTCTACAGCTGTGACATTGGCAAGCACCAGGATGCCGGTAAATATCTAAGCCCCCTGAAACAGCTGGGTGGCTGCAGGCAAGACAACAATCAGCTGGGGTGCAACAGAACAAGCAGTGGCAGAGCAAGAGAAAAACGGAACAGTTTGAGGCCCAAAACCAACCTGGGGGACCTCTATGGAACCCTGCTGACAAACCAGCCAGCGAGAGACCAGGGGGAACTTCAGTAGCCAGTAGTAGTCAAGTAGCGGCAGCAGCTGAGTGCCATGGACCAGGGAAGTGGCTGGGCAGCTCAAGACTAGCCCATGAATTAACTGTGCTATTGGCTCACCAAAGAAGCGACTGGCACCAATAAAGGAGAATATTTGTAGCTCAGGTTTGAAATGAGGGGTCCTTGGTGCTCTCTGAGCTTGGCTGTTTTCTTGCAGACGTTTCATTACCCAAACTAGGGAACATCATCAGTGCTAGAAAGGAGTGGAGTTTGCTCTCAGTTTATATTCTAGTGGCTTGCCCTGTCAGTGTTGGTGAGGGTGGTCTTAGAGGTACTTTGGTTGGGCCGCTTACTGATGGCTTGTTTGGCAGTTCCTTGATTGGTGCATTGTTTACTTCTTGACTATTGGTCTGATCTTGGAGTTAGTCTATGCTCATCTGGGTGCTGATTGGTGGGGAGGTGTTTTGGTCTTTTTGTTCCCTTTTTGGCCTGGCTGATTGTCTCTTTTGCATAGTATGTAGATATTGTTTACTCCTGTGTCTATTGATATCTAATTTGTCAGTGTGCCAAGTTTCCACAAATTCCTTAGCATTTTTGGACTTGGCTTGGTCTAGGATGGTCACACTTTCCCAGTTGAAACTATGGTAAAGTCTGTCCATATGTTGTGAAATTAAAGAGTTTTTTATCATGTCTTCTGACTGCTAGTTGGTGTTCATGGATGTGTTTTGCTAGTCTTCTGTCTGTTGGTCCTATGTAGTGGCTGTTGCAGTCATTACACTGCTTTTTCTTCTGGGGTTGCTGGGTCTTTTGGTTTGCTTAGGATGTTTTGAAAGGCTTTAGTTTGCATCAAAATGCCAAGATGTACATCAAGAACATCTCAAGAACAGACTACTACAACCACATGGAATCAGCATGGCACACAAGACAACTAAAGCCCTTCAAAACATCACTCCATGAAGGGTGGGTGGAGATTCATTGGCATATGATACAGCTCCTCTCATTTGGACAAAGCTTAGGAGAAAACATCTAATCATTGCAGGCATCCTTCCCCCAAAAGCAGAACTTTAAGATCCAAAATGAAGAATTCTGAAACATCTAGATATACCTTGTGAACTTTGGCTAAGCCTAGTAGATCGTGTCACACAGGCAAACTGGCGTGATGCACCATCACTTTCTGAACTGTCTGTATGTTCTGGGTCTGTAGAGAAATCTGAGTCTTCTGTTCCATCTGAACTGCTTGCTGCATTTCTCTGAAAGGCCAACAACACATAAGACAAATTCTTTAATGCAGATCTGCTCAACTTTGTGTGTGTGTGTGTGTGCGCACGCGCGCGCGCTTTTGAGTCAGCCTTTGACTCCTGGTGAGTGCCTGGACCAGACCCTGCAGTATTCTTGGCAAGGTTTTTTGGAAGAAGTTTGCCATTGGCTCCTTCCTAGGGTTGAGAGAGGAACTGGCCCAAGGTCACCCAGCTGACTTTGTGCCTAAAGCGAGACTAGAACTCCCAGTCTAGTTTGGAGCTTGGTACCTTAATACATCAAACCAAGTCTCATCTCAAAAATTAGGATGCACTATATTTAATACGTTATAAATTTAGAATATTGCTCATGTGCCTAACAGACATGTAGTTCTGGCTAAAGCCTAGGTGAATTTCAGAGTTCTCTGTCATCTTTGTATCCAACCTTTGTATGCCATTTCATTTAATTTTGAGAGATCACAACAATATCACAACCATAAAGGAACCCCTAAGTCAATTTGCCATATATATTTTTTCTTTTAATGACCCTGTAATCCCTTGCATTGGTGTGGAGTCGGGGCAACTGAATGGAGCTGAGCGTTTACTGGCAGGATGCCCTTCCTGACGCCTATGCAGAGTTCATACCACATATTATCTCTTTGCGCCCAGAGAAACATCTGCCACTACCTAGGATTGAACTCACAGCTTCCTGATTGTGAGACGAGAGCTCCACCTCTAGGTCACCGCACCACTCTGCCATGGATATTATATATGAAACCTAGTTCCCTCTAATTTAGACTGGCAGATCACATGAACCATCTTATTAAGGGAAATACCAATGTTCTTTTTAAAAAGAGATTCTAGTATATATCTAAAACATGAATAATTCTTTACAGAGCTGGCAAAGCTAGTGACATTTTTTACAAAAGTTTAAGCCAAAATAAATTTGCTAGCCTTTAAATTAAGTATCATGATGCTCATTTTTGCAGGGATGACTGCCAGAAAAACTCCTATCCAATTTGCATGCTGTTCAGTAGAACTAGAAATTTCTTACAAAAACCTGGTTTTATAGCTCATTAAAACGTTTGGCATGTTAAAAAATGCAGTTTTTTAAAACCCAATTTTAAAACCCAAACAGATTTAAAACCCAATTGACTTCCAGCAGACATGCAAATAAAATTAGAATGACCCAAAAAGCAATCTATTGCCCATTCAATCTTGTTGTTGTTCAGTTGCTAAGTCAGGTCTGACTCTTCAGAACCCCATAGACCATATCATGCCAGGCTCCCCTGTCTTCCACTGTCTCCTGGAGTTTGCCCAACTTCATGTTAATTGTGTTGATGACATTATCTAACCATCTAATCCTCTGCCATCCCCTTCTCCTTTGGCCTTTAATCTTTCCCAACATCAGGGTCTTTTCCAATGAGTCCTCTTCTCATTAGATGGCCAAAGCAGTTGAGCTTCAACTTGAATCTGTCCTTCCAAAGAACCGTCAGGGTTTATTTCCTTTAGGACTGACTGGTTTGATCTCCTTGGAGTCCAAGAGACTCTCAAGAGTCTTCTCCAACACCACAATTCAAAAGCATCAATTCTTTGGTGCTCAGCCTTCCTTATGGTCCAGCTTTCACAGCCATACATTACTACAGGAAAAACTAAACCTTCGATTATACGGACCTTTGTTGGCAAGGTGATGTTTCTGCTTTTTAATATGCTGTCTAGGTTTGCCATAGCTTTCCTCCCAAGGAGCGTCTTTTAATTTCATGGCTGCAGTCACCATCTGCAGTGATCTCGGAGCCCAAGAAAATAAAATCTGTCACTGCTTCCATTTCTTCCCCTTCTATTTTACAGGAAGTAATGAGACCGGATGCCATGATCTTAGTTTTTTTAATGTTGAGTTTCAAGCCAACTTTTGCACTCTTTCACACTCATTAAGAGGCTCTTTAGTTCCTCTTCACTTTCTGCCATTCAAGTGGTATCATCTGCATATCTGAGGTTGTTGATATTTCTCCCAGCAATCTTTTAATTCCGGTTTGTGATTAATCCAGCCCAGCATTTCACATGATATTCAGCCTTGCCTACCATATTTTGAATAATTTCTAACATTTTCCCTCGCCTCCAATCCTACCAGAGAGGGGGTTTGACTTTTGTAACACTCTCTTCCCCAATGAGAAATTGAGAAACAGTAGCAGGGCGGGATTTTAGGGACACCGATTCAGAATCAATGTCTCCCTCAACATCCACTGCCAAAGCATACAGCCAAGTATGGATACAGGAGGGAGGGGGAAACGCCCCAGTAGGAAATGATAAGGAAACCAACCAGTTCAGATACGAATCAATTAAAAACGAAAGGTGGGCTACAATAATCATCGAACGGGTGGAGGGAAACAAATAACCATTGAGGGAAGGAGTTGAGCTTAACTTATGGCGAAGATGCTGCGGGAGGCAGGAATAGCCAATCACACCGCAAGATGAAACTGGGCTTGAAGGCCTACATTTTTAACTGGTTTTCAAACCAGACGGTCTAAGCTCGTAAAAAGAGAAGAGGGAGAAAGGAGGTTGGTTCTTCTGCACTTACCTTTCTGCGCGACATCCTTGATGGAGGAGGCGGTGGCGGCAGCAGCAACAGCGAAGGTGGTTGCGCTCCGGTTGTGTTGGCTACGGATGAATCCGCGCCGCTTTATTTTCCTTTTCCTTTTCCCTTCACGACGGGGGTCTTGCGTATCACGTGACACAGACAACTCTCACCCTCACGTTTACGACACTCTTCTGTCTTGGAATCGGGTGGAGCTCCTAGCGAATCTAGCCGGTGAAGTGTAATAGCCATTTTCACTGTGGGCTACAGCCTTATGTATGAATAGGGAAAGCGGCCATATTTTTGTTGGGCAAGTAATCATCTGTAATAGGAATCGCTGGTGGAGCGAGACTACAGCCGTAACGCGATTCTCATTGACGTCTTGATTCACCATCTTTGTTTTGGGACTCAGATGGCTTTTGTGATCAAGAACTGTATCTGTGGGAGAAAGACGGTTTCAGTCTCCCAGTTCGTACCTAAAGGGTACGTTATAATCTTATAACTTCCCCATTTTTATCTGTCTCCCCACCTTTTGCCCAATTCCCCTTTTCCCTAGACTACCTTTTTCCCTTTTTAAATTGATTTCTTAACCTACAGTTCCTGTTTCATTATAATCTTAGCAGCATAAGCATAATAAATTGAGGCAAGTGGTTATTTTCTTTACTATGTGCCAGACTATGTGGTTATAACTGTCGGCTAGTCTGTGCACAAGCTGACTTGCTTATCAGAACTACAGACCTTTCCTGTTTATTTTTCTAATCTTGACCTCTTCCCTAGTATCCCAATGCTCTATTGAACTTCTAAACATATATTTCTCAAAACATACATGATTTTTGCAAAAACAACACAAACCCCCACTCTCAATAGAATAGAATAGAGTAGAATAGAATAGTTTATTGGCCAAGTGTGATTGGACACACAAGGAATTTGTCTTGGTGTAAATACTCTCAGTATACATAAAAGAAAAGATACATTCGTCAAGAGTCAAGAATCATAAGGTACGACACTTAACTATGGTCATAGGGTTCAATAAGCAATCAAATCATACAACTCCATGTGGTTAGCTGCCCAGAACCCATGTGGTTCTGCTTCATCATTAAACCTTTCCAATCAGCCTCCATGTTTCCAGTGTCTTTCTCCTGGCTTGGAACTGAACCAGATGCATATTTCTTCCCACAAGTGTATCTCAGCTCCCTACGTATTTCTTATGAAGGTTAATAAATGTATGGCATCATCCAAATATTGTATAACAGTGTTGTCCCCAAAACTGGGCTCTTGCTTGGTGTCGAAGCCAATAAGTCATTGGACCCAAGGTGTGATAAAATATACTTTTATTTTTGTACCAAGATATAAGGACCCTGGCTCATAAGCTAACCAAGGGGCCCGATTACAATCTTACAGCAATTTTTAGTCAAGGGGTGGTCACATTCAGCCCTTTGCTCTTCCCCTAATAATGCATGCATAACAGATAATATTGATTGGTTATTTGGATCTCAGTTCTGTTGGAAATAACTCAAAGCCAACAAAAAAAAAACCTTGGATCATTGAAAACAAAGAGGATTTATTAAAAAGAAATAACAAGACGGTTTGCAAAGCGTTGGTGATCTTTAGAACCTTAACAAGCAGGTTCAAAATCAAAAGCCACACCTTTAGAACCTCAAAACATACTTTTATGTTGTGCCTCCGAGGTTTGAACCAGGTCAGTCAGCAGATGTAGGCTCGAGTGAGGAGGAAGATCTGGCATTGAGATTCGAGCCTGCATTGCTGAGCGACGTTGAGAGGAGTCTGGGGGAAGAGGAGGAGTTAAATCTGAGAGATGAGCCTAATTTATTAGAAGTTTCAGAGACGTCTTCCTCTTCTGGAACTCCCTCCCTGTTTGCACCTCAGGTGTTAACTGTTAATCAGGAAAGTGTGTCAGAGGCTTCAAGCGATGACGAAACTGCCGGATGCTGGCTGGATGCTCGGACTAGGAGAAGATTGAGACGTCAATCTCAATTAGAAAAGAGACATCCAGCAAAGGATTAATTAATGAGACTGACACGCCCCTTCAGGGGATATTTAAGGAGCGTTGCTAACGCCTTTCCCCCGCTCAAAGCAAAGTGGATTTTACTTTGGAAAAGAAGTGCGTCTGACTACAGCTTCGTGATTTATGAACAATTCAGCTTTGCCAGACAGATTCCAAGAAGACTGCTAAGGACTGTGTAAACAGAGCAGTTAACTCTTTTGGGTCTGGTTTTGTTTTGCTTGAATATCTGAACTTTGGAACTGTGTAATCTCACCTGTGGATACAGGTGAGACATAACATTTTTGCTTCGAGCCAAGACTCCATCTTATGACCAAGATGGACCCAACACAACTTAAGCAACTGGTGGAGCAACAGCAACAACAAATTGACCAACTTTTACAGCTTAACCAGGTCTTACAACAACAGGTAACTCAACTGGTTAATCATGTTGCACAGTTACAGACTCCTGTGGCTCCCCCAGCTCCCCCCCTTAGGAAATGCCTGGTATCTGTGCCGGATAAATTCTCGGGACAGACTGATATGTTCCCGGCGTTTATGGGACAGTGCCAATTATTCATGTCCTTACGGCCTGAAGACTTTCCTGACAACCGGGCTAGGGTGGGGTTTGTTATTAGCCTCTTATCAGGTCCGGCTGCTAGATGGGCTACTCCTCTGCTGATACAAGATAGCCCTTTACTAAATGACTACCAGGGTTTTCAGCAGCAATTACGTGTCATGTTTGAGAATCCCATTAAAAGCCAAACTGTGGCCAGACGCTTGAAGGACATTTGTCAGGGGAAACGTCCTTTGCAAGAATTTATTGCGGAGTTTCGTCTGCTCTGCATGGACTCTACTTGGAATGAGTCAGCCCACATGGATGCCTTTCAGGAGGGCTTGGCTTGACGACATCCAGGATGAGCTGGTGCATGCAGAGCGGGCTCTAACCCTTGATGCCTTGGTCATACAATGTCTACGTATTGACGCCCGGCTTCATCAACGCAAGAGCAAACAACCAGTTCCGGAACCGCCCTCTCACTCACGGCCGCAACCTCCAGTACAACCCACGCCCTTGGTATCCCGCAATACTGTGACCAGGACCGAGGAACCGATGGAGTTGGGTGCACTCCGCCCGCGGTTGACGGCGCAGGAACGCTCGTGAAGGTTCCAGGGAGGTTTGTGCCTTTATTGTGGGGGGCCGGGACATTTTGCCAGTTCTTGTAAACGGAGGGGGACACGAAGACCAGTGCCGGAATCAAATCCTGGGCCGTCGGAAAAACGGGGTAGACCCTTCCTCGGGGAAACCTTAGGTCGGGCACGTATCTCACCACCACCCGAAGTGGCTGAGGTGAACCCTGGCCCTCCCCGGCATTTACTTTTGGACACGCAGGTTTTCCTACAGTCCCGGAAGGAGGGGATTCCTGCGGTTGCGTTGGTGGACTCAGGGGCTACGACTAGTTTTATGGACCGGGCCTTCGCAACTCGCTTTGATGTCCCTTTGGTTGCTTTGGAACCACCCATCAAGGTGGAAACAGTTGATGGGCATGAGCTTAGGTCGGGGCCCATTCGCTTTGCTACCCAGCCACTGCGTTTGGTTATCGGAGACCACGAGGAGGCGATTAGCTTCTATATCACCTTGGACCTTCATCTCCCTTTGGTTCTCGGCATGTCCTGGCTACGATTGCATGATCCTTTGGTGGCTTGGGCGCAGAATGCCATTTCCTTCCCAAGTCTCCAGTGCGTGGATCATCTGAGACATATCTGCACTGGCCAGGACATCGCCGCCCCTGCTGTTTCCATACCACCAGAGCTATCGGACTTTTCCGACGTTTTCAGCGAGAAGGAGGCGGATCAGTTACCACCGCATCGAGCTTATGACTGTCCCGTGGACTTTCTACCTGATGCCCCACTGCCCAAGGGTCACCTTTATTCCATGTCTGAGCCCGAATTGGCTGCTCTCCGAGATTTCCTGGATAAGAACTTGGCCCGGGGATTTATCAGACCATCCTCGTCTCCTCTTTCTGCTCCCGTTCTTTTTGTGAAAAAGAAGACGGGGGAGTTACGTTTGTGCTGTGACTACCACCGGTTGAATGCCATTACGGTGCGGAATAGTTATCCCTTGCCGCTCATTCCAGAGTTGATGGAGCGGTTGCGGGAGGCCACTATTTTCACGAAGCTCGATCCTCGAGGGGCCTACAACCTGGTGCGGATGCGCAAGGGGGACGAGTGGAAGACGGCGTTTGGCACCCGATACGGACATTTTGAATACACCGTAATGCCGTTTGGGTTGACCAACGCCCCCGTGGTTTTCCGGCATCTAATGAATGACATTTTACGGGACATGCTTGATCGGTTCGTGGTGGTGTACCTGAACGACATTTTGATCTACTCCTGGTCCAGGGATAGCCACCTTCGCCAAGTCCGTCAGGTATTACAACGTCTTCGGGAGCATAAACTCTATACGAAGCTGGAGAAATGCCTCTTTTTCCAAACTTCCATAGAGTTCTTGGGGCATATCATCTCTCCTGAGGGCATTGCCATGGACCCGAGGAAAGTTGAGGCCTTGTGTAGTTGGGAACCCCCTCGAGTAAAGGACGTGCAATGTCTCTTGGGGTTCGCCAATTACTACAGGACCTTCATCCCGGATTTTGCCAAGCTGATGGATCCCATCACCCAGCTCCTTCGTAAGAAGGTCCCGTTCAAGTGGGGGCCCCCGCAGCAACAGGCTTTTGAAGCTCTAAAGAAAGCCTTTGTTGCTGAACCTATATTGAGGCATCCTGATCCGAATCGTCCATTTGTGGTCGAGACAGATGCCTCCAACGTAGCTATTGGGGTGGTGTTGCTACAAGCCCCAACGGAGGGCGCACCTCTTTTCCCGTGCGCATATTATTCAAGGAAGCTCACAACTTCTGAGCGCAATTATACCATTTGGGAAAAGGAGTTGCTGGCCATCAAGGCTGCGTTCGAGACCTGGCAACATCATCTGGAGGGGGCTCGACACAAGGTGGAGGTTCGGACGGATCACCATAACCTGGAACATTTGTCCACTGCCAAGAAGTTGAACCAACGACAGATCCGGTGGTCGTTATTTTTCGCTAGGTTCAACTTTTCAGTCACATACGTTCCCAG